GATATTCGGCTCCCTTCCCTCCCTCTCCCCTCACAGACGAAAAAGAATTTTTCTAAAAACCTTGTACGCGGGCACGGACCATAAATCTAACGTTTCTGAATTCGAATGCAATATTGCTTCGAGCGTGGCGATCCATCTCCAACATTCCATTCGAAAACGAACATTCGTCACGAACATATTGAAAAAAATATATTGTCATCAAGACGAGGAGAACGCAAACCAGCACCTGTAATCAATATCGATCGTTTCTCGGATAACACATACACGGAGGGGGGGAAGAACACGGAATGGTTCCATCGTTTCGTTGCCCGGACTTGGCAACGATACTTGCCCGATTACCGAGGCAGCGAAAATATATTTTTTTCCTTCTTTTTCTCCTTCCCCCCTCTCTCCCTCTTTTCTCGTCGACCTATAGGATAGGAATTGGAGGATCGTTTCATTACGAAGCCATTGTGTCCACGTGTTGTGCTTACGGCACGTCGTTTTATTTCGATGGCAACGACCCCCTTTCGCCCTGAAATTTCCCTCTAATTGCAGATAAATTAATGCCACCGGATGAGCACGCTCCGCAGCGTTGATTGGTACGTTTTACCGCGTATCCCGCGAATCCGATGATCGGCCGAATGAAACATCGTCACGCGTTCCTGCACAGATTTGCATAATGTATCGCTCTTTGATCGACCCTTTCAATTTTTCATTTCAAACATATACATACGTGTATACATATATTTCTACGTGAAATATACGAAATTTGGATTTTATTATACAAATTAAAATTCAACAGTGTAAAACGATATGGGAAGTAAAGTTTATTCGTTTAACTACGAATAAAATACAGTTTACGTACGAGGGGGTGGGATAGAGTTACGAGCGAAATCAAATGGAAAAGTTCGATCGAAACGCAAATATTGGATACATTTTGTCACGTATCATCTTTCGTATCGAAAAAAAAAGAATAAATAAATAAATGAAAAAATAATAATTCGTACGTTCGAAACGAACAACGGTATTCCTTCCTCTTAAAAATTATTCTGGAAAGAAAATATTTAAAGAGGAAAAAAAAGAAGAAGAAAAAAAATTCGATATGCTCGTTTTATTTTATTTTTTATTTTTTTTTTTTTCTTCACAATTGAACGTATCCACCGTTGAAACTTTGATGAAGATCCGTATTAAATTCTGGCGCGCGGAAAGGAAATTGCGAATCTCGGATCGAGCGAGTGGTCGTCGGAGCAGGTTTAAGGGTCAACGTGACGTCACAGAATGGACCGGAGCAAGACGATGGACGGGTGTACGGGTATGAATAAATTACGAGGACAGTGACACGAAACCGGCGAGATGAGTGGACCAAGATAGTGGACCGTTCTATTTTTGAACGTGGCCCCACTCCTCTCTCAGCTGATCTACTTTTTTCCCCTTTTTTTTTTTTCTTTTTTTATTCCGCGCCCAATTATTCAGCCTAAATTTTCCGGGCAAATATGTACACGCACACGTTTATCCCTTTAGTCGATTCGAAGGAAGGAGGAAATATTCATGCATTCCCGTTCCAAGAATGAAAATGTCGTTTCTCGGAGCGGCAAAATATCAATTTCCTACGGGGCTGTTGTTGCGCCGTAAAATACGATTATTCGCCTTAAATATCTGGTGCGGAGGGAATCGTGAATTCCGGCGATAATCCCGGTTGAAATTATATAGATCGAGCACCGATTAATACATTTTATAATGGGGCAACGATCGCGTTACCATTTAACACGTGTTTCCATTTCGCTATGCGCAAGTTTACTTCCAATATCGTTGCGCATTCACGTGAAAATCCAGTTAACAGGAACAAATTGCAATTAGGATTGAAGAGAGAGTCGATGAAACGAAGTGGAAAATTTGACGCAACAGCAATAACAACAACGACGAAATGTGCACACGAAATAAACTCGCGTTGACGATCGAAAGAGGATCCTCAAATTCGCGAGGGAAAGGGAAAAAAGGAAAAGAAAGAAAGATTCAAAAATATTAAACCTGCTCTTGCGTCCCAAAAGAGGAGATGCGTAACAATCAGACTTTCTCTTTCCCAAGTTTATCCAACAATTCGTATTTCAAATATCTCTCCACCGGTGGTAATTCCCATTTCGCGCTAAATCACAGCTGACAGCGAGTGACCCAGAAATTAAAGTATTCCATCTTCGCGATCAACCTTTGTTCCGTTTATATTAAACGGCACTGCCATCCCCGTCCACCGTCACGTTCCCCACGTCGAATCGCGGCAGAAACAAGGCGAACCCCCTTCCCCCTCGTCCCGCGCATCCAACCTCGCCGGATATTTCCGACTGGATATTCCTTCCTGGTTGCGCGTCACGGTGGCCGAGCATGGTTCCTCGGGGTTCGTGCCGCACGCTAAATCATCGCTAACGCGCCTGTCACGACTCGACCTCCCCCAAAGTTATGGCATTCGACGCGGCGCCCCGCCCTGCCTCCCGCTTCGTTACGATCTACGTGATCTTCACACGCGTGAGGGAACGAGAAACGTATCGGTTTGCCCGAGCCTCGTTTCGTTCGTAGCGATACCTCGAGGGACGAAGGGATCGATCGAAGGGAAGGAGCAGCGTACTTGGGAGGAGGAGTTGTAGTTGAGAGAGAAGCGGTGTCGCGACGGTTCAACGCACTTTTGGAGAAAGTTTTCGAGGTTTGGTGTACAAGCGTCTCGACGCGTCTCGAGGAGGGAAAAAGGTGTGTCGTCGAAGGGAAGCGCGGATGCGAAGGGATCTCCTGTATCCCCGTGTCTCCGGTCTCTAGCCCGGACGACAACCGGCAAGCCCCCCACCCGTGAACTTTCTTCGTCCGCGATGCATAATAATTTGCCCCCGTATATTCATATTCATAAATGGCGCATGCATATTCGCGATAAATTTCCCCGCGGAGTCCCCCGCCTCTACTCTCCAAAGTGTAAATTATTTTCTGGGCAAATTGAAAGCTGGCGAGGGTGGCAGTTGCGCGTAGGCTCGCGTGTATATGGGGGAGGAGGGGAGGGGAGAGTTGTTGATTGAAAGGATTGGTATTGTCGATTTCAGATACTGGATATCCAGACACTTGATACCCGATGCTCAGTTTATGGCGGAAAGTTCTCTTGTTCGTTTCTATTTATTTATTTATTTATTTATTTATTTTCGAGAATATTTGTTCGCGATATTATTCGAGAAGCGCGTTTCGATTCCTTTTCGGCGTTGAAATTTTATATTCCTTCGATGATTTTTCTTCGCGTGATAGTTTTATTTTGGAAGGGGAATATTGTGATTTTTATTTAGTGGAATTCATTTCTTTCGCATTCCTTCAATTTGGGACGAGGATTTTTATTATAAAATCCCCGGGAGGCGGAAGTTTTTTTTTTTTTCTACAATAACGATATTATTTTACAATCTTTTTTTTTTATTTTATTCAAAAAGGTATGTCATCAGTCTCGAATGGATCGATATTCCATTCTTATATTTCCGTATAATAAAATTGAATTTAATTTCTTGATGCGATATTGAAAAAAATTACAAGAAAGAGGATGGATTATTTCTTAAATATAATACAAAAATCAAAGATCAATGGATTTGACGATTCAACTCCTATCTAAGAAGTTTAAACGGGCATCGATACTTGGTTGAAACCAAGCTCGGAATCAATCTGGACAAACAGAAACAGTTGATTTCTCATTGTGCTTTTCCTCTTTCACCCGTTTCAAAGCCCGCGCTCGCTACCTCTTTTTCGTCTTGCCACGTTCCTCTTTTTCCACCAAGACAGAAAACTACCGAAGTATCTCGTCTCGAATTCTCGAACCAACTTTTCTCCAGGTATATAGGTGATCGCTGATCTCTAAGATCCAATAAATCGCCGGTGTTCTTCCACCTTGGGGCGCATCCCTTCTTTCCCCTCGTTCTGCCTTATTTGCACCCTGTCTTTCTCTCTCTGTCTCTCTCTTCCCCTCTGTAGCTCGATTACACTCGCTTCTGTATCTTCTTTCCTATTTTTCCGTCCTCGTTTCGTCCCCAAACCTCGTGGACGAACGAGTTGGCATTTGCGTCTTTGTTCGAGGCTAAGGCCTGTAGAGACAGAACGTTCCTCTGAAGGTTGAAGAAGGAGAAGTGTGGAGTGATTTGAGTGTATGATGCAACAGAGACGAGAGATGTGTGGGAAAAAGAGAGACGAGGGATAACTTGAGGACAATAGAGAGAGATGATCCTTTACTCGGCAGAGGGGGAAGGGTGGCGTTTGGAGAGGAGAGACTTGGGTAGGGAAAAATATAGAAGAGAGACGAAAATCGTGGAGAAAATTGTGGAAAGGGGTAATAAACGTGGATAAGAAGATAGGAGACAGAGGGTGGGAAAGAGTTAGACGGTTCGGGATAAACTCTGTAGCCGAAGAAAAAACCTGTAAGGGAGATTGGTTTTCTGGGAGGGAAGGAAATGGGACGGGGAATCCGAAATCAAATATAGTTGGACCGTTGAGAAAAAAGACAAAGGGAGGGTCGATAATCACGATTCGTAATCCAGGGAAAAGAAAAGAAAAAAAAAAAAAGAAGAAGAAGGAAAAACTTGGCCATCGACAAAAAATGTCGCGATAAATTAACAAAAAGCGGTCGGCGCGTTTGAAGGAAGAAGAAGAAGAAGAAGAAGAAGAAGAAGAAGAAGGGAAAGAGGTCGATGGAAAAAGAAAAAAAAAACTGAGAAGAAAGCGAAGGAAGAAACGTCGTGGGAGGAAGACGGGAACGTGATGAACAAGAGGAAGAAGATGAAGACGAAACGGCGCGAAGGATGAAGAAAAAACGGAGAGAGGCCGATTGGACGGGGAGAAAGAGAAAGGGTGAGATCGGGGAGAGAAGAGGAAGGGAAGGGGTTGGAGTGGCGCGACAAGGAGGGATCGAGAACGGCGGGGGCTGGGGAGTGGGGAAGCCGTGGAGAATCAGCGCACAGCTACACCCCACCGTGACGGCCGCGGCAGTCAGTCGTCCGCGCACCTTCGTTCGGCGAGGGTTTCGTGTTCGGTGGAGGATCGTCTCCGCCAGGGAGTGTAAAGAGAGAGAGAGAGAGAGAGAGAGAGGATCATCGCAGATTGTCATTCATCGATCAGCTGATTCTCCACGAGCGGTGCTTTGACCTGCGATCGTCAACAATCGTCGTTGGACGGATCGACGTCGTCCCTCAACAACCCCCTCGTTACGTGGACCACTGCGGAACGGTGAGTCAAGCCATTTTTTTTCTTCTTTTCATATTTTCTGCGCCACTCTGCTAATGCTTAGAGTGATAATTGGGGGAATAGAATAACGCGAAATTTTCGTACGATGTAAACGAGGGAAGGGATGAGGTTAGGGAATGGGGTGAATTTGAATGGGATTGAGATAGGGTTGCCGTTTTGGCAACGTCCGCGTTCCGTAAAACGCTTTTGAGAGTTGAAGGGAATCGTAAAAGGGAATCGTGTGAGATCGTGTGTAGTTAGAGTATATAGGAAGGAAGGTTGAAAGTTGGTGGCAACATGTTTGTCTTGCTTGGACACAGGGAGCACACGGGCTCCACTGTGTTTTCTTTCCTTTCCCTCGTTTTTCATCGGCGTGCGAGAGAAGCAATCGATACCCGATTCTCGAGATGTAACCAAGGACGCGCCGTGGCTTATCCGCAGCGACACGTTAAGAATGAATGAATCGCGTAGATAACCGTAGATTTTCTCGTTTTATTATTCCTTTTTACGTTTTACGTATGCCATTTTCCATTATTTCGCGTTACATAAATATATTATATAAATATATTTATCGAATACTCTTAAAATTAATATCTTCTCAAGACGCATATATTTTCCTTTTCAAATAACATTTTCTTTTTTATCACCGTTTTATTATTCATACGTGAAACGTAAAAAAAAAATTTTTATACTTTTCATGCGACTCTATAAATATATATACGCAATATATGACTAAAATTTACGTAGAAATATTTATGGAAAAAGCAAGTTATCAGTATTCTGAACCGAAAGATACGGTAATAGGAACGTATAAACAATGTTCAAACACGTCGCAAAAAACACTCCGCTTCGCGAAAACCTGTTTGTTTTCCTCCGTGTAGGCAAGAGGTGGATGTAAACCGATGTTCTTCTTCCCTCGTTTCTATCATCTCGTACAATGTGATCAATACTCTATCCCCCTCCCTCCTCCCTCCGCATGTAATCCATTGATTAAATTACAGACCTCCAATAAAATTGTATAACCGTCTATTCTTAGATAGATAGATACATCGTACTTGAATAACACACAGTAAAATCATCTTTCCTCGGTTGAATAATTAAATCTAATCATAATAACGAGACGCGTACGCCACGCCGCGATATATATATATATATATATGTATATATGTTATAAAATTATAGTCACAATCTTCTCAAAATCTTCTTCTCCCTCGCTGCCGATGTTCGTGAATCCCTTTCACCGTTGAGAACCGTAGTATAATTCCTTGTATCGTGATACAGACAGGAGGGGGAGGGGGCTCTTTACAATTTCCGCAGAATAGCGCTCCCATCTCTTTCGCAGCTACGTCGAAACTACGTTTGTTGGCCAAACACAGCTGGGAACGTTCGAAATTGATGCGAGAAATTTTGGTCGGCAGCAAGCCATAAAAGTCATTGTAATTTCTGCAAGTTCGCGGCCACGTGCAACCCCGCGACTAATGAACGATCCCCTGGCTGGGTCAAACTCTCTCTCTCTCTCTCTCTCTCTCTCTCTCTCTCTCTCTCTCTCTCTCTGTACTTCCGCTCAGAAACACGTTGTGAAATTAACTCTAATTATTCCCGAACATATAACACGAACGAAGTCTTGCGCGTTCTTCGTTTGTAATATATTTAATACAGAATCCCAGAAGAACTCGTACTTTACGTTACGTTTCTTCATTTTCAACGTCACTTCTTTATCCGAGATTTCGCGTGAGCTAGGGAAGGGAGGATGAAGAAAAGAGGAAAGGGGAAGATCTCTCCGGGTTTATTATTAATTACACGCTTGATTCCTAAACACGAAGTGGTCAGAAGGCGACTTGCACGTTCCAACTCGTACAAATTTGCGGTCGTGTTAGTTTCAGGTCGTGTAGCTCGTTTATAACTGAATGTATAACGGAGAACAGTGGCGTCATTTTGACTGGTGATGTTCATCCACTTGAAACTAACGATCTGGCCGTGTAAATTTTCCCGTTGCCAATAATCGTTTCACGTATTTGCTATTCATTGTGAGTGGCGATCATTGATATATATGTATATCGTGTTCGATTTTTGAAGATCGTTCGATCGAAAGTCCAAAGCCACGCAACGTTTTTTTTTGGATGATTTTCTTCAATTTCTTTATTCGTATACACTCGAGACGGTGATAGCAAAAAAGGCTGTTACCTAAAAGGGGTATAAAAATTTCTGCAAACGACGATTTCTTCATAAGGGGTTCTTGGAGCGCCATAACTGGCTGACCTCAGACCGTAAAGATGTCTGGAAATAAAAGTCGTTAGGAGGAAGTTATATTACTTTTATATAAACGAGAATAACGGAATAAGAAAATGGAGTTACACTCCTTCTCTCGTAACGAGCGTAACATCGAAGGGTTTGAATCGAATGAATTCAGAATCATTTTACGCTCGTTCCTCCAATTATTCTTCATTCGTTATAATTTATAATATTCCTTATTTAATATAATTCCATAAATTCCACTCGTTGGAATTTCCATCGATCGACAAACACGGTCGATTTTAACTTCGTCCCCTTTCGTTTGATTATCGTAACAACGTTAACGATCTCTGGTTAAACAGGTTCGTCTTCTTTTTTTTTTTTTTTTTTTTCTTCTTTTTTCATAGTCAGTCTTGTAAGTAGAAAGTGTTTCCACCGAGTTTTACGTAATCCCGCCATCCTCCCTCTCCCCCTAAAACGTACACGAAAGATCTAATGAACGGTCCGTACGAGGGTCGAATCGAAAAGTGGAGTTCGGCTTGGTTGTCGCCTGGTGGAAATTGTTCCTGAGTTATACCGCGTTCAACTATCTCTCCTGTCTTACGGTCTACGGGATCTATGTACCTTGAACTTTTCGAAGTTTGCGCCCGACAGAGGAAGCGTGACGTGGTGAACAAGAAGTGGTGATCAATCGGCATTAAGGTCGGAGCTGTTTGACGAAGGAGGTTTGCAAATGAACACGTCTCAACCGAAACAGCGATAGATTTCAGGAATGTTTATCGAATCTGCAAGACAGATCACCGAAATTAAGCGGTGTACAGTTCGAGATGATAAATACACTCTGCGCAATAATCATTCTTGAGAGAATCTTGGGAATCTTCGATGAATCGAAGAAAATTAATTTCGAAATATCGACGAGGAATATTTTTATTACGGAAAAACTTTAATGATTTTTCTATCTGTGCTTCGTCGCTCGAAATGAAATCTGTTAACAATAAGTTTTCTTCCCTGCTTGTACTTTACGTCCGATACTTTATTCGTAAACTTTCTATCCAATTAGTCGAGGATTATCCACGGTCAGAGCGTGAATAAATATATTTTATGACGTCTGTTTTGTTTAATTAAGATACTTTATTATTGCACGTTTGAATTTTAATGAACATGTGCACGCCACTTCCCGCTCATGCTTTTATTATAATGCGGAAGGGAAAGGGAGAGAGAGAGAGAGAGAGAGTTTCCACGTTGAAAATGACATTTCATAACGAACCCTCTCCGATTCATAATTCGTTCTTATCGCGAAAAATTGAATTTTTTAAATATCCAGGATGTAGCTGTTACAAAGACCGCGCCACTCTTTTTTTCTTCTTTCCTTCTTTATTTTCCATTTTTGTCACCGCTTTTTATCAAATCCTTTTCGTTCGTCTTTTACCCTTTCCGCGTCGTCGTGCTTTTCGAGTGAACAAGTGAAATAAATCGGTCTGTTAAATCGGTTTTTATCGCGATACGAATATTAATAATACAATGGGAAGGATTAAAATTCAGAAAACAATCCCTTGCCGCGGATGAGCCGCGGATCGTAATGTTTTTTTTACAAATTACGTCACGTTTCACCGATGAGTCACGATAATTTTTTAATATTTCTGTTTTATGCGCGACACGAATGAACGATAAAGATGATCCGTGATTCCAGGTGAAAGGTATCGTTAAAAAAAGAAAAAATCTTTGCGGTAGAGATAAGAAATCTCGGGCAAATTTTCCCAGGAAAATTTTTAAACGTATTTGCTATCTTCTATTTCTCCTTTTCGTTTTCACTTCTCTCCCCCTCCCTTTCTCGAAAAGAGCAGCGATAATAGTAACATTGTTCGTCGTTTTTCGAGCAGCCAAAGAGTCTCGTAGATAATTTCAATTTCAGAAGCCTTCTTTAAAGAGCTTTTCATTGCGATTTTCCAACCGCTTAACTCGTCATTCCTTTTTTTTTTTTTTTTTGTTTCTACAATCAATCTCTCGCGTAACGGATGGTTACGAGTTATTAATATATCGTATATACCATTTCTCGAGTACCAATGATGTTCATCAGCTTTTTTAGAAACTTTCGCAAACGATTGATATATCGGGTCAAAATTTTTCGGGCCGATATTACGTCGAACATTCCGTACGGTCTCGTTACCAGAAATTACATTTTTTATTCCCTCCGAATTGAAATAAAACGGTACGATACAAATTTAATGCATTTTACACCAAGAATATTTCGTCCGCACCGGCCATTTTCGGTCAAAAATTTTCGGACACGTTTAAATTAAAAATATATTTCTTTTTATATTTCCCCCCTTTTTTTCATATCGTGATTTTGAACTGATTTTATCGTTCCCTGAACTGAAATTATCGTTCCCTTAAAAGCGGTAAAAATGATTTTTTTTTTTTTTTTCTACATTTAATTATTCCCTCGTTCTCCAAAATTTATGAAACGATTCCACGATCTCTAATATATACGATAAATTTAAATATTTTTCCAGTTTCCGGTCACATAAATCCAGNGGACACGTTTAAATTATCGCGTTTAAATTAAAAATATATTTCTTTTTATATTTCCCCCCCTTTTTTTCATATCGTGATTTTGAACTGATTTCGAAATTATCGTTCCCTTAAAAGCGGTAAAAATGATTTTTTTTTTTTTTCTACATTTAATTATTCCCTCGTTCTCCAAAATTTATGAAACGATCTTTAATATATACGATAAATTTAAATATTTTTCCAGTTTCCGGTCACATAAA